GAGTGGAAGGGAATGGAGTGGAAGGGAATGGAAAGGAATGGAAGGGAATGGAAGGGAAGGGAAGGGAAGGGAATGGAATAGAAAGGAGTGGAGTGGAGTGGAGTGGAGTGGAATGGAATGGAATGGAGTGGAGTGGAATGGAATGGAGTGGAAAGGAATGGAAGGGAGTAGAAGGGAAGGGAATGTAATGGAAAGGAATGGAGTGGAGTGGAGTGGAGTGGAAGGGAAAGGAATGGAATGGAAGGGAAGGGAAGGGAGTGGAAAGGAATGGAACGGAGTAGAAGGGAATGGAATGGAATGGAATAGAAAGGAGTGGAGTGGAGTGGAATGGAACGGAGTGGAAGGGAATGGGAATGGAAATAGGATAGAATAACAGGGTCTTCCAGTCCACCCCTGCTCAAGAAGGAAACCCTACACCATTTTAGACAAACAGTTATCCAACTGCTTTTTGAAAAACTTCCAGTGTTGGAGCATTCACAACTGTGAATCGGATGTTCTTTGCAGAAGGCAAAGACGTTTTGAATTCAGCCTCTGGACATTACAAGTGGTATTTGAAGACTCTTGTATCGCAAATTATTTCTTGTCTGTTATCTTTCGGGAAACCTCGCATAGCTTGGCAAGGCTTGTGCTTATCACAGCTAATTATTTTGCAGAAGCATTAAAAGATTTCTGTTTCCTTTGGATTGTGTTTGATTTGTTGGAAAAGGGCCCGTGGGTCAGAACACAACCACAATGGAGCCCAAAATTCAGGTTGCTAAATGAGGCATTTGCTAAATGAGTTTCGTCCCATTTTTTGACTTTTCTTGCCACGTTTTGTCCATTGTTAAGTTTGCAATATGGTTGTTTAAGCGGATCTGGCTTCCCCACTGGCTTCGCTTGTCAGAAGGTTGCAACAGGGGAAGACATAACCCCGGGACACTGCAACCGTCGTAAATATGAGTCGTCCGTGGCCAAGCGGCTGAATTTTGATCACGTGACTGCAGGGATGCTGCAATGGTTGTAAATGTGAAAGACGATCCTAAGTCACCTTTTTTTCAGTGCTGTTGTACTGGTAACTTCAAACGGTCACTAAACAAACTGCTGTAAGCCGAGGACTACCTGGACTTATCACACCTGGCTACACCAGGTAACGACACCAGTTGTAATGGGAGCATCAACAGTGACAGTCACTGGCTTCAAAATGGCAGGCAGAACTAGGCAGCTAAATCGGCTTTTATTATTGTATTTATTTAAAATACTTATATAATCACCCATCTTGCAAGCAACGCTGGGTCTCTCTCAATCCAAAGTTAAAGCAATATACAGACACCCTATCAAAAGTCCAGAGATTAACGGGTTACATTAAAAACAACAAAACCTTTCTTATTTCATGCAAGGAATGCAATAAACATTAAAAAGGGATGGTGCTCACCCTGTCACATCCCAGCATTTTGAAGCCAGTTACTGTTACTGCAGGACCTCCAGGCTGCAGCCCTTTAAAGGAGCGCCAGTCCTTCCCTTGGATTATCGTGGCTGCCTCATACTGCATAAACATGCATTCCATACTATGATCCACAAAAATCTGTTTCAAAGTTAGCTAACAGTCTTTGGTTTAAAGCAGTAATAGACGCAACTCAAGTAATTTGCACAGGGAGTGACACGAGGGGGAAAAAACGGTCCCATTTTGGGTTAATAACCATTTTAGAGCAAGGGTGGGCCCCTATGGGGATTTTACCACCTGTGGGCTTCAATTCCCAGAATTCCTGAGCCAGCACAAATTCCGGGAGTTGAAGTCCACAGGTTGTAAAGTCGCCAGAATTGCCCACTCCTGGTTGAAAGGGAAAAAAATTAAAGGAAAACCTTAGTCAAGATAATAACAGCTCACTTACCAGTGAATTCTTTATGACCTCACTCTTATAAAATTCTATTAAGAAAAAAAAGAAAAAAAAAGAAATTAAAAGGAAGTTAGAGATCACATCGCACAGATTCCTAAGGATATCGAGCCGGGAGAGCAAAACAGCGATTGATAATTAAACCAAGTGGAAATCCTAGAGATGTCAAGGTATACAAACAATGGTTGTTATAAAGGATAATCCTTAAATTACATGGAAACCAAGCCTGTGGGAACCCATACCTACTGAACACTCGTTATCGGAAAAAATCAGCTTTTTTTGATAGCCTATAAAAATCAAGCTCTGTATCTTCTGAAAAGAGTCAGTTTTTATCAAAGAAATCACCAAGGTTCTTCATTATCTAATCGGCATAAAGAAGATTGCAGTCAAGAGCGCAATATTCGATGGTGGGACGGGGACATCAGCAAAAACAGGCATTAAGTAGCTCTGGAGAGGTCTGTCATAACTTGAAATGGTCGCTAAGGGACCGGTCATTAAGCGAGAACTACCTGTATCTTTCAGCTACTCAGGCCAATAGGTGATGCAACCAGGGGTGGGATTCAAATTTGTAACAGCCAGTTCTGTGGGCGTGGCTTAGATGGTGGGCGTGGCTTGGTGTTATGTGACTGGGTGGACATGGCTTGGTGGTCATGTGACTGGCTGGGTGTGGCCAACTCAATATCACTCACATCGAGGCACGCATCTCCTCGCCTGGCCTCTCATGACTGTGGGGATGCTGCAACAGTCGTAAGTGTGAAAAAGGGTCATAAGTCACTTTTTTTCAGTGCCATTGTAACTTTGAAGGGCCACTCCACACAAGCAAAGTACCAGCAAAGGAGGGAAAAAAACTCCAGGGAAGTTCCTGAGACAGGAAGTCTAGTCCTGCCAAGAATGTAATAAGGGTTAACGGAGAGGCAGTTTCTGTAAGCAACACCAGATTGTTTCCTTCCTGCCTTCCTTACAGGATTAGCCCAGTAATTTCTTCTAACAACCGGTTCTCCCAACTGCTTAGAATGATAACAACCGGTTCTAGCGAATAGGTGCGAACTGGTAGAATCCCACCCCTGGATGCAACCCTTAATCTGAGAGATACTGATGATTATTCAAAGCTTAGTTATTGAGATAAGCATCTTTCGTGGCATCAAATCTGATGCCACGAAAGATGCACACTAGAACGGTGTGGTGTACTTCCATCCAGTTATCAGTAAAAAAAGGCACATTAATCAGATCACACAAACCCAAAAGGTAAATGTTCAAATTGTTCTCGATTAAATATTAAATACGGGAAGTCCTTGACTTGCAACCACAATTGAGCCCAAAATTTCTGTTGGTATGTGAGACACTTGTTAAGTGAAGTTTGTTCAATCTGGCTCAAGGTTGACTCAACCTTCCGTCCTTCCGAGGACGGTAAAATGAGGACCCAGATTGTTGGGAGCAGGAGGCTAACTCTGTAAACCGCTTAGAGAGGGCTGTAAAGCACTGTGAAGCAGGATGTAAGACTGCTATTGCTTAGGAAGGAAGGAAGGAAGGAAGGAAGGAAGGAAGGAGGGAGGGAGGGAGGGAGGGAAGAGGCTGACTTGGTACACTGCTTAGAGGATTGGAAAGCGCTATGTAAGTGCTATAGCTATTGTTCTTTTTTACGACCTTTCTCGCCACAGTTGTTAAGTAAACTGCTACAGTTGTTAAATTAGTGACAGGGTTTTTAAGTGAATCTGCCTCCCCCTTGACTTTGTTTGTCAGAAGTTCGCAAAAGGGGATCACGTGATCCTGGGACACTGCCATCACCATAAATATGAATCAGTTACCAAATTGCCAAATTTGGATCATGTGACCACAGGGGTGCTGCAACAGTCATAAAACGCGAAAAATTGTCACTTTTTTCAGTGCTGTCGCAACTCTGAACAATCACCAGATGAACTGTTGTAAGTCAAGGACTAGCCGTATATAAATATTAATTGAAAATTCACATTAGTTGTTTTTACACTCTTATGAGGACTACGGTAAGAGAGGGATTTTGAGATTTTGCATTTGGCACAAACGTGGTTAATTAGCACTACTGAAATACCTAATCAGGCAGCCCATGGAATAGCAGCATGTTCACAGATAATACCACTAGAAGGATATTCAGGGATATGTTAATTAAAAAAATTATGGACTGTGCGGAAATGAAAAGCTTCCCATGGAGTTACAAGAGAAGGAAAAAAGAGAATTCTATATTGTCTGGGAAAACCTATATACTTGGATAGATAACAGGAATAATAGTTAATATATAGTGTAAATATGAATAATGTATACATGTATACAAATATAAATAATGGAAGATGGAAAAAACTGACGCCACAATGTATTGCAAAAATGATTTGTGGTTTTGTTTAAAAAACTGTAAAACTTTAATAATTTTTTTTTAAAAAAAGGATATTCAGTGATTGGCTTCACACAACCAGATTAAGTAAAACCATGTAACAAAACTGTTATATATTATCCAGCACACAACAGGAAAAAAAAGCACAGGCAGTCCTTACAACACATTTAGTGACCGCTCAAATTTACAACGGCACGGAAAAAAATTGATTTATGACCATTTTCGCGTTTACAACTGTTGCAGCATTCCCATGGTCATGGGATCAAAATTTGGATGCTTGGGGAATTGGTTCCTGTGTATGGTGGCTGCAGGGTCCCGAAATCACGTTGATGCCCCCTTTTCCACCTTCTGACAAGCAAAGTCAACGGGGAAGCCAGCCCTTTCGTAAGAACCCTTATAAAATGCTCTAGGTCAGGGGTCTCCAACCTTGGCCAGTTGAAGTCCGTCAGACTTAAAATGGCCAAGGGTGGAGACCCCTGATCTAGAGAGAATTTCCTCTTAGGCCCAAAAGCCCCCCACCTTTTTTTTGTTCCTCTCCTGTGCTGGAAATAAAGATAATGCAAAGGAAAACCAAGTGGATTATCTTTTTTTGAACAACGAAATCTTCTTCCATAGCATCTGTTATGTACGAACGAAGGCGAATATACGTGTCCCAAGGATAATGTTGCAAGATCCAATTTGGAAGTGGTGGGAGCTTCATCCCTGGAGGCTTTCAAGAAGAGACTGGGCTGCCATCTGTCAGAAATGGTGTAGGGTGTCTCCTGGACTAGATGACCTACAAGGTCCCTTCCAACTCTGGTCATCTGTTATCAGGACCAGAAATTTTGTCTTCTGAGCTTTCGGACTCATGCTGGAGCCTGTCTTGAGGGAACTTCCCTCTGGCCTAGAAAGAGAGAAGTTTTCGCTAGAGAGGATGGAGGGAACGAGTACGAAAGCTCGCAATACAAAACCTCTGGTCCCGGTGACAGACCCAGATTAGATCCTGTATTATGTATGTATGTATGTATGTATTTGATTTCTGTAACTGCCCATCACGGTATCTAATCCTAGCCTATTTTTTCAGTCATCAACTATGTAAAATATCACAGGTCATTTGGGAAGGAATATTGTTGTGGTCAGACGGCAGCGGAATCAGGCAGTGGGGAAGAATGGGGACCAGTCCGGGAGTCTGGGGAGGACTTGAATGAGGGTCCTGCATCCGATGCAGAGATGGGGCCAGGACCCTCTGGGAGTGGGGTGTTGACTGGAGCCTCTGGAGTCTGGCAGCAGCGAGGCAGAGGAACAGGGGGAGCCTGTTCCCAGTGCGCGTGTGCGCAGAGCTGCTAGAAGGCAAGAGCAGCTGAGACAAAAGGGGCGACTTGGGAGTAAGGCTTGGAGGTGATTGCCCCTCCCATAAGGGATAAAGGACAGGCAAAGGTGAAGAAACCTTCGCAGGCAGCAAAGTCATTCGCTCTGTTCGGATTAAACCTTGAAGCTGTGTGGACTTTGTAGTTAGGTTGGTTTTTTTATAGTTCCTTTGGCACTTTAGTTGTTGGCAGCCATTCAAAGGAAAGGTGGGTGCTTATCTCGAGAGACTGTTTGGGACTCATTACCGCCTGGGAATGAACGTAATTCCCAGTGTTGAAATAAAACAAGAATTGTTTTAACGAAGAGTGTGCTTAATTATGGCCTTGGAATCCCTGGTCAGAACAAATATAAAGAACTCTAAAGAGAGACTTCCTAGACCAGGGGTGTCAAACTCAAGGCCCGCGGACTGGATCTGTCCCACAGGGTGCTTAGATCTGGCCCAGGGGGCTGCCCTGGAAACAGCAAAGGACCGCCCCAGGGTGCCTCTGCCAAGGAAAACGGAGCTCGGCAGGGACACCCGCGGCCCTCCCGAGCTCCATTTTCGCTGGCAGAGGGTTGCAGGAAGCCGTCGCAGCTGAAAATGGAGCTTGGGAGCCCATTTTTGTTGGCAGAGACATGAGTGACACTGAGCTGGCCACACCTACCCCAGCCCCCCAAGGTCAAACCCAGCCCTGATGTGGCCCTCAATGAACACGAGTTTGACACTCCTGCCCTAGACAAACTGAGCAGATGGAGATGGAAATCAATGACAAGAAACATCTCTTTACCTTTACATATATTTATGTTGTCGCACAAGTGAAGGGTGAAGTAGGTGTCCAGGAGGCGATAACCGTTCCTATTGACAATATTCCGGGCTGCAATGTTACGCAAATGCCTGAGACGACGCTGGAAAGGAAAACATTACAAATATTAAGCAATGTTCGCGTTGTTATTATTAAGCTGTTTAATAAATGCGGTGTTGTTTAACATGTAACACTGGGTAAGAACAGCTCATGTTTGTTTTGAGATGTTTTTATTCTTTCTAAAGTTTTGTTCTCAAAGATCCAGACTGCTATTGTCCCTCTGTCTTGGCCTTTCAAATAAAAATCCTACATGTGTTCCTTACGCACCCAGATATAAAAAGCAAAATAAATTCTCTCGCTATATGTAGCTTCAGTTAAAAATGTACAGAGAGCCCTCCTATATTCCTTGCAGACAGCTGGTCATTTGCATTCTTTTAGAGACTTATTGAGGCCACTTGGAGATTTGTTTACGTCTCAGGGTCACCCGAGTAGGGCAAGAAGGCTCCACACTCATTTGCACCACTCAGGTGATCCTGAGGACACAGATAAACCTCCAAGTGGCCTCAATGACTTCTCTAAAAAGAATATAAATGCCACCTGTATAAATATAAATCCTTCCGTCCTTTACCATCCAGTCTGAGCTGAAGAAGCTTCTTGGGTGAGAAGCGAAACATCTTCAAAGAAAAAAACTACAGAAAGTCCAGTTGCCTCCCGAAAAAAAAGCACCTCTGGGGCACTGAAAAACCATAATATTTAGCAGAAAGCAGCAGTACATAGGAGTATTTCACCAATTCCAACTTCCCACAACTTCCTCTGCAAAACACTTACAAATCACACCATGACCAGTGCCAATTAAAATTATCTTTATCCACTTCATTCTGAACAAGAAAATTACATTACAATCTCAATGGCTATTAACTGTTAACATGGTTTAAGCCCATTAACAAGAACTACAGAACTGTTTTCCAGGAAGAAAGCAAGAGATAAAAACCATCTGGAGAGAGACATTCAGTTTCCCTAAACTATTCAAATACTGTTTTAAAACAAAAAAACATTTGTTGAGCGGTAAGCTAAAAACTACGGCTTATAAACTAGAATGCTTGGCTTCCCGCTTCTCACTGAACAGCCATAACTCTTTCAGCAACTTAGTGTTAGATGAAATTTTAATTCCCCCGGACTACATCTACATTTTACACATAATTTGTTTTACTCCATTTGCAACACAGGCTGCACATAGCAATCTATATGGAAAGAAGCATGAAATTCTTTAACAAGCCATAGGTTTTTTTTTAAATTAATGAGTCATGGTTTGTGATAAATATGATGGATTAATAGATAAATAAACCTAAGGGTTTACAACTTTCCATTCATTCCTTTATTAAAAGTATTAAATGAGACTACACACACAAAAACCAAATACACATCATTCTTTACATGAAAACTTGAATGTGTCACTATCAAACACTGGCCAGCCAAAAGGAAAACATTAATAGGTAATGATTCTGTCTTGTTTTAATGAATCTTATAAATTTCTGAGCTGTAGTGGCCCCATGGTTAGAATGCAGTATTGCAGGCTTATCTCTGCCCACTGCCAGGAGTTCAATCCTGACAGGCTCAAGGTTGACTTCCAACAGTAAACAATCAGTAAAATGAGGGCCTAGATTGTTAGGGGCAGGATGCTGTCTCTGTAATCTGCTTAGAGAGAGCTGTAAAGACAGAGCTGCACTAAGGAGCAGTATGTAAGTCTAAGTGCCATTGCTATGGCTAATATCCTTTCATTAGAAACTTGAGTCCACAGAGAATCATATTCTCTTTCTCTTCCAGGGAATTTGCTCTTGAAAGGAAGAAAATAAGAGGCTGTTACGAAACTCTTCCCTTACCATTTCCTACTGTTGTTTTTATGCATATCAAACTTCCTCTTTTCTTATATCAGTTTACTGGGACAGGGCAGGGCATCAACAGGCTCTTGTAAGAGTGCCGGTCAAACATTGCAGCAAAAATATGTTGTACGCATCTTCCTAAACATTTGCAAAAAAAATAAAAAATCCACTGGACCACTGTGGCAAGATCTACATTGGGCGGCCCTTGAAGAGCTGCTCCAAAACAAGGGGCTCCAGGAGGCACGAACATTTCATGATGCACTGAATAGCACCACGCTTTGAGAATGGCGCTAGCTAGCAACTGGGTGTGATTCCAAGTTCTAACAATCGAATGAAAGCCCTTCATGGAACACAGGGCCTGGATATCTGCAGGGACTTTACGAAGTAACACCTGCCTGCTGGATAACATCAAGTAAGGTGGGTTCTATCGGGGTCCCCTTATTAAGGGACTGTATCTTTAGGGGCCATGGGCAGATAGCAATAGCCCTTAGACTTATAGGCCGCTTCACAGTCCTCTGCCGCCCTCTCTAAGCGGTTTTACAGATTCAATCTATTGCCCCCAACAATCTAGGTCCTCATTTTACCCACCTCGGAAGGATGGATGAGTCAACCTTAGCTGGTCAGGATCGAACTGCTGACAGTCGGTGCCTTTTCAATCACTGCTTCCTCCTTTGGCCTAATCTGGATTTTGAGTCATGACAACTGGACTTCTTTTTTGGTTTCAAATGTCTCACTGCTTATCCAAGTAGCTTCTTCAGTCCTTTGGAGCAGCATTTTCCTGGACCTCTTCTCCTCTCTCTTAGAAAGTCAGAACTGGTTGTTCCAAAAGATCTTAGCAGCTGAAATAGATTGGCTTCTCTAGCTATGGAGGTTGAGCATTATGGTTGGTTGGATTGTTGTGTGTTCTTAGTCCTATATATGTGATTTTATAAATTATATGGATTGTTACTTTTTGTGTTTGTGTTCTTCTGAAAATACAGAAGTAGGGAATATAGGACATTGAGGGTGATTTTGATATAAGTGGTTTATAAGCCCTGGAAACGCTTGAATAAATACATTTATATTCTGGATCTTAAATAAGACAGCTCAAAATGCCAAAAGTACCTGAAAACCCTTCGCTAGGCTTCATACATCACCAGATTTTAAGATTCTTTTAATTTTTTTATATGGTCTTACACACTTTTAAAGTATGTTTAAATATTTTTGTATTGCTTTTCATTTTTGTAAGCCATTCAGAGTTATGCAATTGAGATATATAGCCACCTATCTCAAATGCATGGCTCTGGGTGGCTGTATAAATCAAAATAAGTACTTTTTTAAAAAAAATAAAAATAAATTACATTGGAAGCTAACATACCAGTACTACAAAGTTAATATCACCCTCAAAGATAGTATTTAGTTTCAAGGGTGCTTTCGGGTTCTTACAGTGCCTCAGTAATGTCTGGGACAATGTAAGAATGACGCCTCCAGCTATTAGGGGAAATTTGACCACCTGTTTCAAAAAATAAGCTGCTGCAGGAAGTTAGCACCCACTCCTCTCCTACAAAAATGAAATACCCTCGGAAATATTAAAAAGGCAGAATATTTCCCCTAAAAAGAGAAGTAGAAACTCAGAAGCAGAAACTCACCTGAGAAGCAGAAGCTCACCCCCACTTTTGTTAATGGGTAGGCCATTAAGGCCTGGGCCAGAATATTCTACATAGCAAAGCCCTCTACCCATCTCACCATCTGGCCTGGGAAGATTGCATCAGGCAGCACTCGGGTGAAGCCATGTGGTCCAGCTAAGACCACCACCCCTGGGAGTCTAACAGCCAATGGGATACATTTCTTACTCAGGAACAGGAAACACTAAGGTGGGGCCCAACAGAGGGTATAAAATAATTGCACTCTCAGCATCTTTGCCCCTTGTCTTCTTTTTTTTCCTTCACCCAACGTCTTGAAGCATGTGATCATCCGTTTCACTTAGGAGCTCCAAGCCACGTGGCTCTGTCCAACATTAAACCATCTTTCCAAACAGCCTCCACGTTTCCAGTGTCTTTCTTCCCCACTTGGAACTGAACCCAGAAGGATAATTCTTCCTACACTGCAATGATAGATAATTTCTGAGAGGCTATGGCAGCCCCAGGTAGTTGGGTGAATAAAATCTAGAGAAATCTCTGTTGTATCTAAAACACAGCCGATGTTAGATGTTAGAATTCAAGCAACATCTCCATGAAGAGCTGTTCTTTACTTCTAAATAAAAATATATCTGCTGACTGAATGCCAACAATCAGCAAAGCAACTTCAAAGAGATCAACTGATGCCAGTGTAACTACTCACAATGTTAAGCTTATGTTATTACTCAAATACTACTCAACGGAATGTACTAAGAATATAGGTTGGCTTTGTTCTCCTTAGTAGCCTATTCACAGCCAAACAGGAAAATAACTCCCGTGGAGTATTAAGCTCAATAAGAACCTTATGAGTTGAGAGAAGAACCTCATGAGTTGCTGGTCGTAAATTTTTAAGAGACAGACTTGCACAGAACTTGTGATAAACATTCACTTCCAACACTTCGCTGCTTTAAATTATTTTAACAGTTTGTTTGTGCAAATTGTTCTACAGGGAAGGAAAAAATGAAAAACCAAAAATATAACACTTTATAGCCATAAGAAAAAGCCTTCTTCCAGCATGCAAATTAAATTTCCCCAGTTAATGGAAACTTCTTCTGAAACAATACTGCAAATTTAATCAATCGCTCACATGCTCAACTATTTTTAAGACTTAGGAGATTAATGGAAATTAGCTTCATATCAAATGCCACTGGGCTCCTCCTACCTTAAGGACCATTCTCAGGACACTGGAAAAAACAATTACATCACATTAATGCCAACAAATATAGTGAGTGACAATTCCAATAATTATCAGTCAGCATGAAGATGAAGTCCATTATATCCAGAGGACACCAAACTGGGATAAGTTCTAAAGTCCACCCAAAGAATTTTCTTTTTTATCCAAGTTCTTACAATTGTCAGGGCATATTATTCAAACAGCTATTCAAGAACAGAAACATAGGTCATGCCTGACAAGCAACTGTTTATAAGCTACTAAAGCTGTTGCAAATGAAGGCAATCTTGAATGAACCTGTGACTTTCACCTCAAAGAATTACTGAGGTTAAAAATTAGAAACTACAACAAAATTTATTTTAAAAAAAACAAAACTAGAAACTACAGCATCCCTGAAAGAGATAAATTAAAGAGAGAGAATTAACCTACATTTCCAATTTGTGACTCTGTAGAAATATAGTCATTTGTGCTGTCCCAGCTTACGGATTTGCTTGTAGGCATTTCATCACCTGAGTAGACAACATAATCAGTCCTGGTGAGTGGTGTGTTTGCTCTTAGATTGTATAAAGTAACTTACCAGGGTTAGTGGGAGTGTGGTTTTTCTCCCTGGTAGTTCTTTATCAAAACTATACCCTCACCAACCCTGGCAAGGCAAGCTACTGTGTATGCACAGGCAGCAAACACCACATTCACCAATGCTGATGATAGCAATAGCACTTAGACTTATATACCACTTTATAGTGCTTTCCAGCCCTCTCTAAGCAGTTTACAGAGTGAGCTTATTTGCCCCCAACAATCTGGGTCCTCATTTTACCCACCTTGGAAGGATGGAAGGCTGAGTCAACCTTGAGCCTGGTGGGATTTCACTGCCAAATTGCAGGGAGCCAATAGTCGGCATAAGTGGCCTGTAGTATAGCACTCTAACCACTGTGCCACCAGGCTCTGATGTTGTTGCCTAGTCGGGTGATGAAATGCTTGCAAGCAAACCCCCAAGCTTAGAGACTACATGGCTGCCACAGTTCAACCCTGAGCTATATAGATTACCTTCTTTTGGTATCAGTACAAATAAATGTGTAATTATTCAGCTACGTTATGTGAGACTTGTCTCCACTTTGCTAAACATTACACACAGAAAAGATAATTTAGGTCTACTCCATAATGGGGGCCTCTTCACGGCAGCTACAACTCAAGTATCACACCTCTGCAAGCCTAATGCTAAATTAATAACTTATGGGCCAAAGTAGAAGCCTATCTAGGCAACTTGACACTTTCTTACCCTCTTGTTTATGTAGCTGTATCTGGTAGCCTCAACAAAAGGGGTTATAGCAAATTTATTCAGCTATTTCAACCAGTGTTATCTGCCCTGGGATTTGCTAACAGAGTAAAATCTAAGGACAAGCTTACCCTGTTTTGATTCAGAGTGCCAAGAAGTTACGAAAGAATTGGCTGGGCACTTCAAACGTAATAATCAGCTTCACATTCCACCCAGGAACTTTTATTCTGAAAAAACTGCTAGAAATTAAAGAAATAGACTTTTCCAGGACTTCTTGAAATACTTAGCATGATCACAAGCTAAGAATCTTTGGGCGCTTGATAGCTTCTTGTCCAATCACTAGGTCCTTTTCATTCCCTTTTCTTTTCTTAGAAAAAGTGTAAGTACTTTAGAATATTGCTGGCACTTAAGAGGAACCAAATTGGATCTAGAGCTCAAAACAAACAGCTCCCCATTTCAACCTCTGAGGGAACAGGCCTTGAACAACTTAAGTCTGCTAAAGCCCAACTTTTGTTATAAACACTGTTTTTTATTGATTCCTTTCTCTGGAATTTCTTGTATGTTTTACTTCTCTGCTAATGGCCAGCCTGTAAAATAACTGCAGCTTCCCATATTGTGCTTCACATTGTTGTGCCTTTCTGTTAAGCTGAGTAAATGAATTTTGTCCCATTTTACAATCTTTCTTGCCACAGTTGTTAAGTGAATCAGTTGTTAACTTAGTAACATGGTTATTAAGTGAATCTGGATTCCCAATTGACTTTGATGTTCAGAAGGCCGCAAAAAGGGATCGCACAGGACCCCGCGTCATAAATATGAATCAGTTGCCAAGCGCCTGAGTTTTGATCATGTCATCACAGGGATGCTGTGCAAAAAATGGTCACAAGTCAGTGTTGTAAGTCGAGGATTACCCGTATAACTAAGCAACTCTTGTGATCCGTTGGGTCATCCTTTGGGAGGAAGACAGCTTAGTCTGACATTATCAGACTGAACATTAAATATTGGGCTGACTATATTTTACACCAGTGCTGGATGGTCATGTGGTCATCTCAGTATATGTATCATAACTAGAAAAATAATTATTGGCAAAAATCGGTAAGCTAATATTTACTTATGTAAACAGATAATCATAATGACCACAGGTGGGCAAAAAAGCACTGAGAGTGGGTGAAACTTCCAACTTACTCCTGGTTTCCCCAGTGACTCTGCTTGTAGAAAGCCGGCAGGGAACCAAAATCACAATCATGTGACTGTAGGGACACTGCAGTGGCCACTACTTTCAGTTTCCATTCCACAGGAGTACAGGTAGTCCTTGACTTAACAAGTTTGTTTAGTGACTGTTCGAAGTTACAGAGGCACTGAAAAAAGTGACAGGACCATTTTTCACTCTTACAATCATTGCAGCGTCCCCATAATCACATGGTCAAAATTCATTTTGTGTTTTGATATTTTACACATTCTTTTAAGTTAGCAAATATCAGGGATCTTTATTCAAAAATTGTTATAGTATAATGCACTGTCTGAGCTATCTTCAAGATATAAACAGACAAACCCAATGAAATTTTTAGTAGTTATAGATAAGCAAGCATTGTATTAAGCACTTAAATTTAACTGACTGTCTAAGCCAACTCATAATACATTCTGGCAGATGAAAAGGTAGGTTTCATAACTGGACAGTCTGTTTTTTGACCATGCTCTGACGCTGCAATTTCTGACAGAAAAAAAAATTGTCCAAGGCAGGTCTTGCATTCAACACTGTCTCTACTGATTTCCCATCTGCATTCAAGCTCAACTCCAGAACAAAGCTGTAAGAAAAAATGCAAAAATACTGCTATTATAAGCAGATGTATGGCAAATACCAACAGAATTAAAATGAGCTCTCTTGGCCTCTTGTTCTGAGGAAACACCTGAAAGTAATTGTGCTAAATCAAGATCCTAATTTTTGCTTATCTCAGCTTAATAAATGTGTGATGATTAAATGGTCAGACATTGGGCAGGTTAAAATGTTTAAATGCTTGGAATATTTTTTCATAGTTCTACGAAATGTACGGCACATAAAAATTATATAGATTACATGCACAAAATTAGCAGCAGAAATCCCTTCCACTTGACATGAGATATAACATACACAAACAATAGCTTTAGTTGGCTAAGGAAAGTATTAAAAATGATATTCTAGAACGTCAACAGATATATAATACAAATACCAACATCTCCTTATCATTTTGAACATTCATCATTTGACAAAAAAGTAGTGGGTGGTATAAGCAGAAGCAGCATGTATTTTAAAGGAGTTTATAAAAAAACTTTTGTCTGTGGCTCAGTTAAGACCATGTCAGTCCTTGCTCTTCTGCAAAAAGTTCAGTTCTTAAGGACCCCTCATGTACCTAAAACGCTACTAAGGAGGCAGGTTGGTCTAAATCAGGTGGAAAAATATGGTCCCCTTATGACTTGTGCACTTCCAACTCGACAACTGTGGGTTTCAACTCACAACTGACTTGTGAGTTGAAAACCACAAGTCATAAAAGGGCCATAGTTCCCCACCCCTGGTCTAAATAAAGTGTAAGCTTATGCATTTTCTCGGAGTGTTCTCTGAGCTTCGATGTTTTCCTGCAAATTTTGTTACCAGGCTATGGAATATCATCCATACATGAATAATGAAACTTCTGTAGGAAAACAACCAAGCTCAGAGCACACTAGGAATCCAAAAGTGTCAGTAGGCACATGAAGTTGCTGGCTAAAATTACGATTGTTGTTTTACAGATGATCTAGGTTCTTTGTGTGGGATAATTACAAATCAATATGAAAGAGATCAAATTATAGAGATCAATTAAGAGCACTGGCATCAGCATATTTTAATTCCCTCCCAATAGCCATTCTTTAGGCTGGAATTATAAAAAAAAAAAGATTTCATCTAACGTAAGACTGTGCACTTTAAGCCGCCTGAATCAATCGCTTGTGTTCTGCTCTAGTGCACCTTTTATACCAATGGAATTTCTATACGGAAGTCATTTATTTCATAAAGACATAATTAGAGGAAGGACCCTCCCAAAGGTGCTTTATCAGGAAGCAGCTGGACTTTATTTTTTCTTTTGAAGACATTCCGCTTCTCATCCAAGAAGCTTCTTCGGCTCTTGACAGGATAGTGGGGAATGGAAGGATTTATCTTCCTTGCAGACAGCTGGTCTTTTGCATCCTTTTAGAGGGTTGTGAATTAGGGGAAGGAATTCCACACATTCATTGGTCCGGTGTTATAGGGCAGCATAATGTCCAAAAAATATTAGAGCCACTTTGATATATATCAGCACAGTAGTTAAGGTGCTGGCCTAAGGAACCAGGAGACCCTGGAAGATCATTGGATGACTTTGGTCCAATCACCAAGCGATAGTGAGTTCTAGTTTTGCCTTAGACATGAAAGCCAGCTGGGTAACTATGGTCTAATCACCAGAGATGGAGAGTTCTAGTCCCATTTTAGGCATAAAACCAACTGGATGCCTCTGGGCCAATCACCAGGTGATAGTGAGTTCTAGTTCTGCCTTAGGTATGAAAGCCAAATGGGTGACTTT